ACATATACATACACATGTACTGTAAATGCCTTTGTTGTAATGCATTCAGGCACAAAACAAATGATTAGAATATGACATGACTGATCATGTGTGTTAATCTGCTGCATGTTATATATGCTGTCACTGGATGTAATAAACTGTCTGAGGAAAACATGGAACATATTAGCTGTAAAAGAAAATGTAACAGAGACCTGCAGAAAAACTGAGATCAATGATGGTAATCATCATCTTTAAAATTCAAGAGTAGCTGTTGTCTCTTAGTACCTTATGTATGAGACAAAATTCTAACAGTGTCATATTAAGTGTCGAGAACTGTCTTGTCCCTGTGAATGTGAATTAGCTAGTTATTGTTGATCTTGGATGAAAATAAATGCCAAGTGAAAATACAGAATCGAATCAATAAGAAATTATTTCACAGCAAATATGAGCAGCTCTTGTGAGAGCTGGAATAAATTCAGAAGATCTGTGATTAATTATAAATGATTTGCTGTGGGATAGAATTTATTGACACCAGCTAGGGAAACTGATATACAAAGTCAACAAAACTGACAAAAGAGGCTTGTCTTTGTACTTAATACTGTATATCATACATTAATTCTCTAGCTGGTCATAATTAAATTCTGTCTGATTTTTCTACTGTCTGTGTAAATGTGCTGTGATTGTGGATTGAAAATCCTTTTTTGAATGAGAATGAGCACAACATCAAACCACAACAGAAATCAGAATGCAAGCTTCATTTTTCTAAGGAAGATCTCTTGAAAACAGATACTTATGTATAGTAAGAACCATACAAAATACACACCTCTGGTGGCCCAACGTTGCCTGCTTTGCTGCCCACTTTCGGAGGTGCCGTATGCCCGTGTGTGTATGTGAGTGCAGTGGCATGTATGTGTGCAGGGGGAACAGTGTTTGTGTGTCCAGGGGTCCTGATACTCCTGCTCAGCACACCTGATGGGAAAATGTTTGTCGGAGTCTCTTGGTCATACTTGTCACAGAACAGACTGGAGGCAATGAGAACTGGGACTCCTCTGGTTTCTGCGTCAGGCTTGGGGAGGTCTTTAGTGGTGTCTTTGAAGGAAGTGGGTGCCTGGCCATGTGTATATGCCGAGAGCCTGGATGGGAGAGAGGATACCTGATAAGGTTCATCTGCAGCTTTAGGTTTAAACTGAGGATTCTTTCGGAGATAGGTGATGATTTTGGGCCGAACTCCTTTAGGTTTAAGTGTAGGTGATGAGGAGCTCTCTTTGGGGCTGGAGCTATGGTTAGAGTTGGTGGAACTCTGCTGGTTGTTAAGAGGCGCTTTGGGGATTCCACTTGTGCTTATGTTAGTTTTGACTGGTGCTCTCAAGCAACTGTTGCCATAGCCCTGAGCTGACGTTACAGCAGGGTTGCATCCTGAAGGGATGTGTCGAACCACTCCAGAGACATTCCTGGAAACAAAGTACATGGAGGTTTGCCTGCGTGGTGATCCCTGGGGTGTCCTGAGAGGGGAGTGGGGAGGGGTAGATGACTTGGATTCAACCCCAGTCCTGTTGGAACTGGAGCAATTCCGTTTGTATGTCAGCTGTGTCTGTGGTCTCTTCTCCAAAATGGAAGGGTTGGAGGGACTGGAACTCCACCGTGCATTTGCAGCCAGATGCTTTTCCACAGGTGAAGCCTCCCTCTGCGCTGTCTGGTTGGACTGTCTGGGCTGGGTGACAGCAGATGTATTGTACAGGTGGGAGAAATCTGATGGTTCACGTAAAGATGATTTTGTAAACTTTCTGCTTGAGCCATTATTATGAGAATCTGGAGAGAGGTTGAGGGAAGTAGATTGCCCTATCTCAACTTGATGAGCACCGGACTCTGCTAAGTTCCTTGCTCTTCCCATCTCTGTTTGACACAGGGGTCTGACGAGCTGTTGCCGTCGTGGTGGCAACACCTTCTCCTCAAATCCAGCCTTCCTCCTTTGACCCAGTCCCCCATCAGAGGACAATCCATTTGTATGATGACTTCCCTCCTCCTGTCTCGGATCCTGGCTGCAGTATTGAGGACAGTCATATTTCTCCCGAGGATGCAATGGTGGGGAGTTTTGGTTGCCGTCTACAGGGGCTGTCCTTCTCCTTGTCTGGGCTGAGGTAGAGTTATTGGCAGTGGGATAAGGGTTAGTTTCAGGGTTGGACAGAGAGATGAGCGACTGCGCTACTTCTCTACTATCCAGAGCACTTGACAAGCTCCCGCTGAGGGAAATGGTTGACAGACTGGAGACAAATACATTTGTCTCAGACTTGGACTCCTTCAGACCTCCCTTCCAACTCTCCTTGCCTGACCTCATGCCTCTTTTCTCTATTGAGCCTGTCACACATGTGTCCAACTCTTCAATACTATGACAGGCACTTCTTTTCTGCACCTCGTTCCCCTTCTGTATTCTGCCCTCCACTTTGTTGCTGTCATTTCTCCTTATGCCAATTGAAGCAGAGCTGGCAGTTGAACTGGAGGATATGGACATGAGACCCTCATCCTTTCCATCTTTTAAACTCCCTTCATCGTTGTCCTCCTCATTCCCCTCTTCCTTATCCCTGTTTTCTGAGAATGTATGTATCTCCTGACACTCTAAAAGCTCAATCTCTCTGACCTCAGGTTCCATGCATTGTTGATCAGAGCTCCAGATTACTAACTTGTCTGGAGATTCACTCTGAGAGACCAAAGGAGGAATGGAGCTTGTGCTATATCCTTCTATCAGTCCTTCTTGATCACCAATCAAAGACAATTGATTGGCATTATCATCCTCAGGCTGGGGAAACTGGATCTGGGTTTTGTTTCCAATCTTACCTCCTCTATCAACATTAACCCTCAGTCCCTTAAAACTAGTAGGGATGCTCATGTCAGACTGATTATTTTGGCACGCTCAAAGACGCTTGCAGGCTGCCGAGGCCATCTATGGAGTTACAAACGTTTCTTCTCTCCCTGTCTTTCCTCTTCAGGGTCTGTGTGATGATAAGCCTTCAGCTGAGTATTCCAGAGACTAAATGTCATCTCTTGTTTCACTGCAACTTGTTACTTATCTTGCATTTACTGTGAGATAACAAAGCTGTGTTCGACAGCTCTTCAGAAAGATGAAGGTCTGGTCAATCTGAAACAACAGACAACAAAAGAAACTCTAAGAAAGGGCAACAGATATGCCTGTAAAATCCATTCTGTTTTTCTCCCACAGAGCCATTTTCTGTGTTTAATGTTTAGTCTGACCTGAGTAGCAGCAATTTCTGAAATCAGCTGTTTATAGCCCACAATCGTGTGTTACTCATATTCATAGATAATCATTTCAAACAAAACAGAACTGGCTGTCCACTGGTGTGTAACTGGTGTGACAACCTTTTTTACAGCCACCTGCTGAATCAGAACATTAAAGGATAAATCTGATAATTTTCTATATTAACAGTATTTTCAGCATTCTCCATACAGAGACTAAAACCAATACTGTTAATATAGAAAATGGCTGGCCTTATCCTTTAAATATGATGTAAATGTGAGTGTAAAATGTGATGTGACAAACAGATATACAAAGAGTAATAATCGATAGGCTGTAACCAGCAAGAGCAATACAGTATTAAGAATGATGATGGGCATTCACTGATGGTCAGAAAGAAAAGCGATAAGTGAAGAGAGAAGTAGCTCAGAGTACAGATGGTTTGAATGTAAGTGAAAGAATCACCCTGGGGATGGCTGATGAAGAGAGGCAAAGAGGAAGAAAGGGAAGGGTGAAAAGTGTTTTGTAATGAGCTTTATTCTCAAGAGACAGTAAAAATAGAAGCAGGATGAGGATAGGGTGAAAACATCTGCAATAGAACATAAATGTTCTAACAGTTTAGTTTTATAGACTATACAGCACAGGCAAACAGTCTCTCTTGAGCACATGCTCAAGTGCATGCATGTAAAATGTGAAAATTATGTGTGGGTGAGGAGCAGAACCACTAGAATAGGAGGGAGGGAAACATCCATACTGTAGGTCTGATCACTACAGGGGGGTTCACACTCTTCTCTCAACAAGCCTCCGTTGACACGCCATATGGCCGATTAAGCCAATGTCATGATTTGATGATGAACAGCACATCCTCCTTCATTTAAAAGCAATGTTCAGCTGTATGCATAGAAAACTAACATTAAAATTGTTGTGTTGATCTGAGTAGACATCATTTCAAAGTAAAACTGTATGTGGTGCCACTTGAAACATGTATAGGTAACAAATGAGCAGATGGCAGCGAGGGCAAATGTTTGAGAGGTTTTGCACCACCATGTCAGTATGAGGCAGTTGAAGGATGGTTTAAGTACAGCAGTATAAAAACAGCACAAACCAATAAACAACCACACATTTCAATGATGTTCTGCAGTATAAAAACTGTCAGGTAAATGTTGCCATCATCTGTCTATGTAGGTAGTATTTAGACTGAAGTAGTCATTCTGTAATCGAAGCATGTTTTCAAACCATCACACTGAATATTTGAGCAGTTTCCACAGTTTAAATAGAACCCCCAACCTCTAATGATATGTGCTGGAGGAGACTGTTCTCATTAGCAGGTGCCTTCTCCATGTGTCCTGTGGCAACCATATCAGTGAACTGAGAACTATTAAGACAGCAGCTCCCAATGCCGCTGGTACATCTGATGCTGCCCTAACGCTGGAGCAGAGCTTTGTTTTACCAAATGTACTCGAAGGGGAAACATACAAGGATATGATTTGTATTCCTGAAGATCATTTAAAAATAATTTGGACATATTATCACAGTTTACTGAAGAGTCTATTGAGGAAGATACACTACTAGGACACTGTTGGCTGAATGTGGTAAAAAAAAAACCTGATTGTTTTACTGCAATAGCAAAAATGATTTTTTAAAATATATTTTTATATTCTTTTATATATCCAGTTATTGGTCTAAATGAGCAGTTCTTTGCTATATTTGTAAGATTCTGCTTGAGATTAAAGATTGCTGAGAGACAGAGGGAAAATTAATTGTGTTAGACAACATGAAGGAAAATCCTGCTGCACTCCGCCTCCATGCATACTGCTAGTATTTACCCTTAACTGGTGCACACGATCAAATAAATAGCTAGTTATTAAACACAGAAATTTCAAAGAGGCAGAGATGGGGAGAGAAAGACACAGTGTGTTAGAGAGCGAGAGGAGTCTCTGAGAGGACATGGTGGAAAATCCATTACAGCGTTGATGTAGTGCTTTAGCTGGTGCTGATGACAGCAGTTTTGGGAGGCTGAGTGCTAAGCTTGGTAGCAGTGGCTGAACCAGAATAAGCTACACACATCACCTCACAGTGAGGCAAACCAAACCAGTCTGGAAAAATCCTAAACATAATAAGACAGACAGTGGAAGATCTTGTCTAGCTATGTAAACAAAAAAGACGTGATATTAAAAAGTATAAAGAATCGGGTGTATCATGGGATGTTTCAGGAGACATATGTTTGAGAAGAAGACTTGACAGGCCCTCCCTTCATTTGCACTGCCTTATGGTGGTGACATACCTAATTAGATAGGAAAGGTAAAGAGGATCACATGGCAGTGAGAGGATGGAAAGTGTTGGTGCGGGGCTAAGTTGAACTTTCTTTTGATTAAAAAATTAATGAATTACACATGTGGAAAAATATCTTTGATCATAAAGTCTCTTGGAGCAGAGGAAACAGCAATAAGAACACAGGAATCATGTTTGGCTTTATGAGATGCACTGATTTCAGTTATGTGCTAAGCAAATATAGTAGATACACAGTTTTTACATTGCTTTATACACATTGACTAAATATAATAAATGTACTTGATGATGATATGGTAAATTCCTTCAGACAGAAAAGTGGTAGAGTTTGGCATTTTGATGGAATTCAAGTCATACAAGAGAAGACTGATTTTATTCCTGCATATATGCATGTTGAGGTGATCTAGGCCGGAATGTATAATGAAGGTAGGCTTTGTTTTAGCTGGTGAGACCCACCAGCTGAGGTAACTACTTAGTCTGAACTCCTCTGGGAAAACAGCAGGAGGTAAAGCCAGAGAAAAATTGAACAGCCCTGCTTCTGTAGTCATGGCAATGCCATATCCCTGGGAAATGGAAAATACACAGCCTAACACCTATGGCTTTCATCAGGGAAAAAGGTCAGCTTTAGACAAAGGCTGAGATCAAAAGGTCACCTTCATGCTTTTACACTCACTGCTCATGCATACTGTACATCGTGCTGTGCATTGCTTTCACATGCAAACTCATTCACCTATGCACAACCATAGATATATTTGATATGTATATATGCAGCCAGCAGGACACAGAGCAGCCAAAATGCATTATACTAGAAATAGCTGAGTGAAAGCCAAGTACATGCTATGCATCTAGAGGCAATCACATCCCTACAGGTAGGCAGACTGACACATTACTGAGGTGATGAGAGCAGGATGAGACAGTATCTTAGCAGTGATCAATGTCAGTGAAAGACTGGAATTTGTGGTTTTAAACAGACACCTCAGCCCACAGGTGCCTCAGAATGTGGGAAATGGCTAAGTTATAGCAGGACATGATGAGACACTGGCTAGATGTGAAGGGAAAAAATAAAATAGAGTGAGCAGAATTGAAAAGAGAGAGGCCTTCTTCACCCTCCCTTTTTCTTTCAATGTGAGCAGGAATCAGTCTGTGTGGGTGAAAGACTGAGACGCAGACATGAGGTGGGAGAGATGAGACACACAGATGGATGCAGGAGAGAAGAGAGTTGCTACAGGAGAGCCACAGTTTTCTAATGGATTCAAGGGTGTAGCTGAAGCCCTATGGTACAAGCCGCAGAGCTGAAGTCACTTAATAATAAAGGCCTAAGAACTTTTGTGCAGTGTTGTATTTTTCATGTGAGAATGTTTTAGCCAAACCCAGGGTCTTTCCTTGACCTTAACTATGCAGTTTCTGTGCTGAAACCTAACCATTTTCTGTAATTTCTGTTGCCAGAAAGACGTTGCCATGTCAGAATTGTTATCTAGAAAATGCTGTAATGTCACATTATTATGAGACTAGTATGTTTTGTGCTGTGGACCAACATAGCTATTATACCATTTTGCTGTGTGACTGGGTTGTGTATTCTTAAATTTTGCAGAAGGAAAGTCTTTTGACCATTCCAGATTCCTTCTTCCATGTGAGGGCCCAAGTCCCCTAGGTTTTTATGACAGAGAATCAAAAAATGAGAGGGATTCACAGTTGTCAAGATGGGGATGTTGTGTATCTTATTTTTATTCAGTGGATCAAAATTAAGTTCTACATAGAATTTTATTTCAGAGAAAAAACTGCTAAGTCAAAAAAAAAACTAAAAAAAAAAATGTTTTTGTATCATGCTGGTGAGCTGGTTTGCAATTTAAAAGGGTATGTACACATGTGACAACAGAAACAATCACCTGTACAGACACACACATCAACACATTCCCTCTGAGTCTTTGTTATCAGCCCAGCAACACATGTGGTTATTACAGTAGCCATTTGTCTTTGGCACTTTGGCTTTATTCCTCTCCTCCCCCACTGGAGAGCAGAAAGGTTTTATAGCTCTGTGGTCCCAGGGGATCCCCAACACCACACATACATCTCATCCATATATACACACATACTTCTCCAGAGATGTGAATTCCAACACACTGAAAGAGAAGTAAAAGGAAGAAATGTAAATGGGCAGTGACAATGTGTACGTGCCCATTATTTATGACTCCTGGGTGTTACCACATCACATTATTAGATTTAACGCATTTTGACATTATAATTCAGTTTAGTGATTATAAAACTAAATTCCTCTAACACAGCGTATGCCGTGTTCGTCCATGAATCCTCTCTAATGTCATCCTTGCATGTCCTTGGTACTTTCTCAA